TACTATCCCGTACATTGCCTTTGATTTCGAGAGATAAGCCGGATGATACGAGTCTTCTGGTAGAACAAGTGGACTACTCTGAATAACGGAATACTTTGAAGAGGTATCAACGTATACTAAATCTAAGCATGTACCAATTTACCATTGGTTCAGACCCAACTCGGAAATTTTTTCCAAAAACTCATTAAAATATGATCGATTGGAAACCGGTACGACATATATAGCTATCCATGAGGCACACGGTAAATTTAAATCTTGTAAAACGGTTATCGGGTTACCGATAAGTCCTAATGGGGTGGTATAAAAGATAGGGTTAAATAAATAAAGCAACTATTATTATAGACTCTAATACATTTAAATTTAAATGTTCAGTCGATCAAATCTAAATATTTGAAATTCGCTGTTTAAAATCTCATTATCAAAAATGTGAAGTGTTAACCATGTTTCTGGAAATCCAATTCTATGAAAATTAAAATTGGAACTGTTTAAGTACAAGTCGGTTAGTTTTGTATAAAGACCTCTAACCTCTTGATAGTAAATGCTCAGCGAATTTCTACCAATCAGTTTTTTATATGTGTGGTTTCGGTAATTTAATAATGTTTTCCTCATTATGATTTCTAAGTTTAGACTTAAATTCACGTACAAAAGCCACGGGTGGCTAGAATGAGCTATCTAAGATCTATTTTAAACGATGATATACTTCTATCATAACTGAAGTTAAACTAACGGATATTGATATCATCAAATTTTAAGCGCGACGAAATGTAAGACTTTATGTACGGATACCTTGGTGAAGGCAAGTCTAGAAATAAATAAAGATTTTTTAGGTGGAATAACCACCAAATTTTTAACAGATGCTAATAAGTAATTAAGGAGAGCCTCTGGAATTGTAAGGCACTTATTACTATTTTGTAGTGCTTTTTGGGAATTGAACTCTTTGGAAGTTGACGGCTTATCACCTTGAGGGCAAGGAGAACAGAGATTTATATGGTCAATTGGAGTGGACGTACTCTTCTGTACAGAATAACTAAGTATTACTTCATTGAAAGGATGTTTATGCTTAGGGGCAGGTTTGAAGGATTCGGCACTAAAAAGATTTGAACAATTTTTGGTAGTGCCTAAATTTTACGATGAGGGTTATATCGATTTCAATTGATCTACAATTTAAACAGGACCAACGCAATCCCTTGCAGTCGTCAATAGAATCTAAGTCCCTACCTGTCAGTCCAGCACATTTAATATGGACTAGCCCATCACAAAGCCAGCATGAAACGTATTGATCTGACTCGCCTATAATGTTTCAGTTGGGGAATTTACACGACAAAATAAACAACAAAGATTAGATTAGAGAAAGATTAAAAGAATATTAAATAAAAAGTAAGTAAAACAAAATCTAGTAGATATATAATTAATTAGTGTATTAATATAATATTAATAATAATAAATAATATTGAAAACGAACATAAAAATAATAAGTTTTAATTAAAGTTCAAAACCAAGACAGGGTTTCAAGACAAAAGATGACTCGACACCAAAATTCGAATATTTAAACTTTAAGTTAATGCACAAAACTTAAGTACACTTGCTTTTATATAATGTATATCGGCGATAGAGAAATGGAAAGGCTGATTGCATTGATTCTTGAGCACTAAATTAAGAAACCAAACTGTAGTGTGGTATAGGGAATCACACTAGCGAGGAGCTCCTGTGAGTTAAAAATGTTTAAAGTGGGCATGGTCTCGTCCAATAAATGATTTAATGTACATATGTTCGAAACCGCTGAAGCTAAATCAACCAAACTTGTTAAGAAGAATTCTTTTTAGCATTTCCTCATGCACTGGGTGAAATCGAAATTAAACAAAGTCTTAAATTCCTTCTGTTTCTTTCACCTTACAGTATACCATAAAAATCAAACATCAATGAAGTTATCAGATTAAAACTTTGTACAAATAGAGCACGCAAGGTATTTCATCTTACGCATGAACATGTCGAAATTGGACTATAACTTTTCAAAAACCCAGACACTAAATATCCGGACTCCAGTGCAATTGGCTGATTTTACCGAGCATATCGGTCAATCTGTGAGTTATAGCATTAAAGGTCGGAGAGAATATTTTTGTGATGACTGCATGCCCTGGGTGAAATTGGGTCAATATATTCCTCATCCTCCAAAAACGTTATATAAATATTTTCGAACTTTCGCATCTATCGGTCAATTTGTAAGAAATATTAATGAAATTCGGAGTATCTTTGGTTAGTGTAGGCTCTTGCCTAAAATGGAAGAAATCAAGGGAATAATTCTATACCATAACATACCTAAAGTATGGATTAAGGTTTCTTAATGAAATTCAGAAAGCCTCTATTTCTGGTTATTATATAATATATTGCAATACCAAAATTACGAAAGATAAAATCGGAGCAAAATATTCCCATACCATATATAACAATATGTATAAAAATTTCAAACTTCCTGTTGGCTTTATACCGTATTGACCGATATATGTCAATACATAAGATACCCTCGCAAAATTAAGTAAAAGTATAATATTGGATATGTTAAGTATAATGCTGAAAATGTGCGATATCGATACATGAATTACCCAGCTTCCATACATTTCGCTATTGATTTATCGCAGTGTTAATAGTTTTTGATAATGGGGAGTGGGCGTTATCATCTGATTTTACTAATTTCCATGCTGTTGCAAAAGGTGTTGAATTGATATGTCCTATGCAAATTTGGGTGATATAGCGTGAATAGTTTGGGAGAAATATACATTTAACCTATTAATTAAAAAATTTCAAGTCACAAAGTTGTACCAAATTACAGTTTTTCATTTGCTGCTTAGTTATGGCAATTTATAGGTTTTCGATTAATGCGGTTTTGTGGGCGTGGCAGTGGTCTGATCACGTCCATATACATACTCGTCCTCACTTTTTACTCAAGTTATCGCTTACACGGACGGACAGACCGACGGACGGACAAACGGACAGACAGACAGTCCCCCGGATTTCAACTCGTCTCATGATCCTGATCATTTATATATATAAATATAACCCTATATCTAAATCTATTATTTTTAGCTAATACAAACAACAGTGAGGTAAACAAAACTATAAAAAAAATGTTGCAAGAGTACAAGAGGAAAGAAAAATTTAAAATTGGACTGTACCGAATGAATAATACCCTTCACAGGAGTATTTCCTATAGCAACTATAACTAAATCTAAAAACTTGAAACTATAACTAAAAAAACGGCCAACGGATTCGGAGGATCTTAATTCAGATATAATTGTATATGTATATAATATAATACATAATTTCAGAAATAAAATATAATTTTTATTTATCGGTAGCTCTTCCGAATTCTGGTCTGGAGTCCTGGGATTTAAATGGCCTCAGTGGTTCTCACTAGTTCTCCCTGGTATTCACTGGTTCGCCCTGGTACACCCTTGTTCTCAGTGGCCCTCCCTGGTTCTCTGTGACTATCTTTAGTTCTCAATGTTTCTCACTGGTTTTCAGTGGTACTCAGTTCCCCCAAGGCTCAATGCAAGTTGGGAGAGTATAAAATGTTACACCCGAACCTAGCCCTACCTTACATGTTTAATATAAAAGGTTGCCAACATCTGAAGATATTTAGCCGCACTTAGCCCGTCCTTACTTGCAACATGTAGCTACAGCATATAATAGTGAGCAAAACTAACGGTTGTTTGTATCACCTAAAAATAATAGAGTTAGATATAGGGTTATACTCGTATATATATGTAAAAATGCTCAGGATGACAAGACGAGTTAAATTCCGAGTGACTGTCTCTATGTCCGTCTGTCAGTCTATGCAATAACTTGCGTAAAAATTGAGATATCTTGATGAAGCTTGGTACACATATTCCCTGGCACTCAGGGAAGGTTGGTATTGCAGATTACCCACCTCTAATAATTTTAATGTACATATCTTCTAAGCCGTTTAAGCTTTAATAACCAAATTCGTTCGGGGCATATCTCTTTGGTATCCTAATCCTGTGAAAATTAGTTAATTTAGATTGTACAAAAGGGCTTAATAGGAGGCGGTGTTAAATTTGAACGATGGACGGAGCGGCGCCCACATTTAGATGAAATCCCATATCTCGGGAGCTACTCAACCGATTTCAACCAAATTCGGTAGATAATTCTATCCTAAAATGCATACAATAAGTCCTTCATTTTCCAGTATACAAATCTAAAACCAATCAATATATCCTAATAAAACTTTGCACAAATAGTCCCTTTGAGATGTTCCACCTTATAACCAAAAATTGTCCAAATCGGACCGAAACTATTTTAGCCCCATATACCGAATATGTGGACCCCAGTTCCTATTGCGAACTTTTTATCGAAAATAGCGTTCAATCGGTGAGTATATTATAGAAATTAAGAGAGAATCCTTTCGGGATAATAGTGTGTCTGTCTGTTAAAAATGGGTTGAAGCGGATAATAATTCCCTCAGCCCCCATATACTTAATAGAATGATTTTCGAAGTTCCGGTGGATTTTATACTGCATATATCGGTAAATATGTGAGTTATCCTAATAAAATTGAAAGAGGATAAAATAGGGTGGGAACTTCCCTTATGCAGCTGAAGGCTTATTTGATCCTTGCAAGTTACAAGAGTATGAAATGTTCGGTTACGCTCGAACTTCGCTCTTCCTTACTTGTTTAATATAAAGTTTTGCCAACCATTTAAGGTATTTAGCCGACAATGATAATTGCATGTTGCAAGAGCATAAAATGTTCGGTTACACCCGAACTTCTTTCTTTTTGTTTTAAGTTTATGTTTTGGTTTTTGAAATTTTTGTACCCTAAGCAGATAAATTCACGTATAGTATTATGAACAAATAAAACTGAAAAGATTTATTTCTGTTGATAAAAACTAAGCCTAAAACTGAATTTGCTATGCACTTTGCAAACAATTAAGTAGCAGAATTGTGCATACAACATAACACTTGTATATTGACAGATAAACTTACCGCAATTTTGATTCATTCTCAAAGTGTTTCATGAAACTTTCACTGGCCGTGTGATGATCGACTATTGTGATATTGTGACTTTGATAAGAATGCAGCACGGCTATATTTACTTCTACGACAGCTTTATCTTTCCACAGTGAGGTTGGTGTACGAGTATCCAAATTCATCTTCAAAGCAATGGTCTGAAACGGAAAACGTACAAACAATGAATAAATATAAGAAATTAATAGCGGTTCTGATAATTATTGTTATACTCTCGCAACCTGTTGCTACAGAGTACAATAGTTTTGTTCACCTAACAGTTGTTTATATCACCTAAAACTAATCGAGTTAGATATAGGGTTATATGTATATATATAAATGATCAGGATGAAGAGACGAGTTGAAATCCAGGTGACTGTCTGTCCGTCCGTCCGTCCGTCCGTCCGTGAAAGCTCTAACTTGAGTAAAAATTGAGATATCTTTATGAAACTTGGTAGGCATGTTTCTTGGTACCGTGAGACGGTTGGTATTGCAGATGGGCACAATCGGACCACTGCCACACCCACAAAACGCCTTTAATCAAAAACAAATAAACTTCCATAACTAAACTCCGCAATAAGATACAAGACTGTTATTTGGTACACAGTATCACATTAGAGAGGGGCATCTGCAGCTAAATTTTTAAAAAGTGGGCGTGGTCCCGTCCCTAATAGGTTTAATGTGCATATCTCCTAAACCGCTAATGCTATAATAACAAACTTCATTGGAAGCAAATGTTTTTAAAACCTCTACCCACAGTGTGAAAATGGGTGAAATCAAGTAGCAACTCCGCCCACTCCCCATATAACGGTACTGTTAAAAACTACCAAAAGCGCGATAAATCAAGCACTTAACAAGCCAGAGACATTAAATTTTATCTCTTTGATGATATGAGCTGACTTTATAGGAACCGCGTTCAAAATTAGTCAGTGGGCGTGGCACCGCCCACTTTTAGGTGAAAACTCATATCTTGGGATCCGCTTAACCGATTTCAACCAAATTGGGTGCATAACGTTTTTTTCATATTTTTATGTTATAGTGCGAAAATGGGCGAAATCGGATTACAACCACGTCTATTTCTCATAAAGCACCATTTTCAATTTAATCTGATTCTTTCACGTTCCACTATGCATATCAAGTAACAATGATTATCTCGGGGTAAAACTTTGCGTGAATAATACGTTTAACGAATGCCACCTTGTGACCAAAAATTGTCTAAATCGAACCAAAACTGTTCAAGCCCCTAAGTACAAAATATGTGGACCCCAGTGCTTATAGTTGAACTTCTACCGAAAATATCAGTCAATCCATTGACTTTGCGAGAGTATAAAATGTTCGGTTACATCCGAACTTAGCCCTTCCTGACTTGTTTTTTATATCTGTACAGTCCGAGAAAGACTGCATCTACCCATTACAAACCATATTTCGTAATTTCCTAAAAATGAGAACAGTCGATGCCTTACTTGAATCTACACCGAGTATATATCGGTAAATAAGTATTTGAGAAATATTAATAAATGATATTGATATCGATTGATGCCTTTGATATACGATATAGACAGTATATCACTTCAGATGATTTTATACCAGCTATGCCCAACAACAACGTTACAACGCGTTGATACTTTGGCAGACAGGCAAACATCTTATAAATTTTATGAAGTAGGCCTTAATTGATTTATATACATACAGTTACTGACAGTAAAATAAAACTTTATATTAGGTATATGAGAGATAGGGATAGTATTGAACCGCTTTTATTATTTGGTCATTACCACATATTATTAACAGAAAAAGTTATCTCGAAATTTCACCCGATTTTATCCATTTTATGCACAATGATACATTGTTATTAGAACACGCTCTTTGAATACATTAAGATAACTCGCCGGAAGTTCTCAAATTTTTCTATTAAGTATATGGGGACTATGGAATGATTGAATTTCTCAAAACATTTTTGGCAAACCGGCATATTGTTATCAGATAAGGATCCTCTCTGAGTTTCTATAATACATCTTACAGATTGACCGACATTTTCGATAAAAGTTAAGCTGGCACACTTCAAAGGAAGCATTTGTGCAAAGTTGTATCCCGATATATTTATTGGTGCTTAATTTGTATACATACTAGAAGGAAAAGAATCAGATGGAATTTAAAATATTGTTGTAGTCCGATTTCACCAATTTCGCGCAGCTAAGATAATGCTACCTACCGAATTTGGTTGAAAGCGGTCGAGCACGTCCCCAGATATGTCTGAGTTGTGCGCAATAGCAAATTTCTAACAGCTGGGACTTTTTGTTTACTATATGAGCAAACGAAAATAAAGGGAAAGAAAGCCTGTTGACGAAAATGTAGGTAAAAATGAGTACGACGGAGTTATATTTCGATGATTCATCAGACGATGAAAGCTTGTTTGAGCTGGCCAGAACCAGAAAACGATTGGGGATACTTCCAACCTATAGATATGGATTCGACTGCGTAAATGTAATCTTCAAATTTTTTAGCATTCACAGCATTCAGGAAAATTTGTTTTTAGTTTTATAAAAAGTTTCGTTTATCTAAAAGGCCTTTGTGAATTTGTTGTCCACTACACAGGATATGCTGCAGCATGGTACGCAGCAAATCCATACCAAATATACTGAAACTGGCTACACTTGTACGACAACTAAGCTTCGTGCTACCAGAAATGCTGGATGATCTTGAGATCTTGAATTCTTCAGCATTAATGCTATGGTTGTAAGTTTACATATGCGCATATGTATTATTAATTTATGATTGCAAATGTTGAAATGTGCCTATTCTAGGTATGCGATCATACAATGAAAATGCGGTATGTAAATGCGAAAAATCCGGGGCTATAGGTACTTCATTCAGCAACAACACAAATTATGAACGAGTATACAGCTTTGCAAGGTTGTGCTTGATTTATTATGTATAAATTACCGATGTAGGACAATGATGTGAAGTTGTTGAAATGGAATCTGTTAACAACTCAGAAGCAGAACATATTAGAAATGAAATTTCAAGAAATTGATAGAAACAATATTGAAATAAATTCAGAAGTAGTTACTCCAGATTTTATTTTATTAAAGTAATAACTATTTTTGTTTCTTACATACAGGCTATTTCATAACAACAACTATCACAAATTCACTTAAAATTTCAAATTCTTGTTAAATTCATCACATGCAAAAACAACACTTAATCATTTCTCTTACAGTTTAAAAGTCCTAATTCTAATAGTAATAAATAATTCTAAAAACGTCACTTGAATTCCTTCATGGCACTTATACTAAAATAAAATTAAATTATAAAGTTACGTTCTTGGCAGCTTTTTTTCTCATCTCCAGGAGCGCAACTTTGAGTTGTAACAGCAACAGTTCTTTGATTGTCTTTTCATTTATTGATGCTTTTTATACTCTCGCAACCTGTTGCTACAGAGTATAATATTTTTGTTCACCTAACGGTTGTTTGTATCACCTAAAACTAATCGAGTTAGATATAGGGTTATATATATATAAATGATCAGGATGAAGAGACGAGTTGAAATCCGGGTGACTGTCGTCCGTCCGTCCGTCTGTCCGTCCGTGCAAGCTCTAACTTGAGTAAAAATTGAAATATCTTTATGAGACTTGGTAGACATGTTTCTGGTACCGTGAGACGTTGGTATTGCAGATGGGCGAATCGGGCCACTGCCACGCCCACAAAACGCCATAATCAAAAAACAATAACTTGCCATAACTAAGCTCCGCAATAAGATACAAGACTATTATTTGGTACACAGGATCACATTAGGGAGATGCATCTACAGTTAGAACTTTTTAAAGTCGGCGTGGTCCCGCCTCTAATAGGTTTAATGTGCATATCTCCTAAACCGCTAATGCTATAACAACAAAATTCACTGGAAGCAAACAGCACTTTTTTGACGGTGTGAAAATAGTTGAAATCGGGTGGCAACTCCCCACCTCCCCATATAACGGTACTGTTAAAACTACTAAAAGCGCGATAAATCAAGCACTAAATACGTCAGAGACATTAAATTTTATCTCTGAGATGGTATAAGATGACTTTATAGGAACCGCGTTCAAAATAGACAGTGGGCGTGGCACAGCCCACTTTTAGGTGAAAACCCATATCTTGAGATCTGCTTAACCGATTTCAACCAATTCGGTGCGTAACGTTCTTTCATGTTTCTATGTCATAGTGCGAAAATGGCGAAATCGGATTACAACCACGCCTATTTTCCATATACACCATTTTAAATACCACTTGATTCTTTCACTTTGCACTATGCAAATCAAGCAACAATGATTATATCGGCGTAAAACTTTGCGTGAATAATACGTTTAAAGTATGCCACCTGTGACCAAAATTCTCTAAACGAACCAAAACTGTTCAAGCCCCTAGGTACTGAATATGTGGACCCCAGTGCCTATAGTTGACCTTCTACCGAAAATATCAGTCAATCCACAAAGAAATCTCAAACGAGTATACCATTTGACTTTGCAAGAGTATAAAATGTTCGGTTACATCCGAACTTAGCCCTTCCTTACTTGTTATTAATACATTCTTGTATTTCTGTAACACTTTTAATTTCCTCTACATTCGCAATTAGCTCTACATAAAAATTGTCTGAGCACTGGTCTGTACTTCTAACAACTTTAGCCTCTCTGCTTTGAAGCATTTTTGGTTTTTTGTCTCGTGCACGCCCGTTTTTATTTTCGCGAACTGTATAGCTGTATACCGATTATAGCCTCTTCAAAGTTGGTGTATACATTTAGTCCTCCACCTGTTACTCTATATTGAGCTTTTGTTTGCTGTCGGTCTTGTAGGTGGTCCTACTCAATTAAGTTAAGGCGTGAACTCTTTCCCTGAACCTTTGAGCAAATGCCTTCAGCTAATTGGGGATTTTCTCCATCAGTGAAACCAACTTTCAAGTTGCTCCGGTGTACTTACGACTTTAGACTTTCATGAAATTAATAAAAATCAATTAATCTAGAACTTAGTTACCAAAACTAAATACAAAAGCAAAAAAATTACATTTTAGTAATTTTCTCACACTTTGCTACATCAAAAAGCGAAGATCAAAGATCGATTGAAACTCATAAAGGGACCTATATCTCTAAGCTGATCCGATTTAAACTTAATTATATTTCCATCACATCCTTATGATTAATATTATGTTTTAAAATTGGTGAAATTGCACTACAATCACTACTATTTTTCATATAATGCCATTTTTATTGTCACTAGGTTTTTACATTTACAACCTATATTTGACTTCTGATGTGTGAAAACTCTGATGATATTATGTCGATTTATCATAAGCAAGACTTTTATAATAACGTTCTTCGGTCATCTCGAACTGTTTTACAAGTCTTTAATTTATAAAACTTACGAGAGTGCTTAGTATTCGGCTTCACTCCCTTTTTAAAATTTTTATTTCAAGTTGTAACCGATGATTTATTAATTTAACACATTTACGCAACGATTTATCAATATAATAGGTAATTATCTTCAGTATTCACCTCTAACATATTTCGACGATTTATGTCACACAAATTCCGACAGCACAATTTCCGTTGACATGTACCATCCGCTGAATGTAGTCGCTGTGAACTGAAGACCGCCAACATCAAAAGCATCGACGAAACTGCTGGTACAGCATACCAACGCAGACTCAATTCTGCAAACCACTCAAATCTGTAAGAAAAAAGCAAAATTATCAACTAAATAGTTATATAATCACACAGTTGATTTAAATCCCTAAAATCTCCTAAAAATAATAATTATTAAAATAAATAATAAATTATTGTTACATAAGTTATATATTCAAATATAATAATATATATTACTAGAAATAATCATATATTATTATAAAAAGTAAAAATCATTAGTAAGAAAGAGCTAAATTCGGATGTAACCGAACTCTCGCATAGTCAAATGGTATACCTACTCGTTACCTAATATATAAGGTAAAGTAAAAGTTCGTTCGGTTTTTATTGATTTTCAAAGATGATAACTTTGTGTACATTTATGCGATTTAAGTCAAATATGCGCCGTTTGTTCATAAACTTGTTGCCAACGAGATGCCAACTTCATTATACCCCTCTCGTACAAGGCTGCGTCCCTATTGGCAAAAACTCGGAGAGCCAATTTTCACAGGCCTCTCTTGAAGCTAACTTCTCACCATTAAGCGCATTCGCCATGGACAGGAAAAGATAGTAATCACTTGGTGCCAGGTCCGGACTATAAGGTGGGTGCATTAGGACCTCCATCCGAGCTCCCGAAGCTTCTGGCGCGTCACCAAAGACGTGTGTGACCTGGCGTTGTCCTAATGGAACACAATTCGGCCTCTTTTGATCAAAGATGGCCTCTTCTGATGAGTGCTGCCTTCAAGCGGTCCAGTTGTTGGCAGTAGAGGGCCGAATGAGCGTTTGGCCATAGGGGAGCAGCTCGTAGTAGATGATTCCTTGCCAATCCCACCAAACACACAGCACAACCTTCCTGGCCGTCACTCCGGTCTTGGCCACCGTCTAGGCCGCTTCCCGAGCTTTGACCACGACCGTTTGCGCTCGATGTTGTCGTAAGTGACTCATTTTTCATCGCCAGTCACAATCCGCTTCAGAAACGGGTCGATTTTGTTGCGATTCAGCAGCGATTCGCAGATGGAAATTCGGTCCATCATGTTTTTGCGTTAGTTCGTGTGGCAGCCAAACATCGAGCTTCTTTTGAATCCAAGGTTATGCAAATGGTTCCAAACGGTTTTCTGGCTTATCTTTAGTTCCTCAGCAATTAAATAAGTGCTCACGTCATTTCCATGATTTTATCGCAATTTTCGACGACAGGCTTCCCGACGCGTGGTGCATCTTTGACATCGAAATTACCAGAACGGAACCTAGCAAACCACTTTTGTGCTACACGTTCGTTTACAGTATCGGGCCCATAAACTAAAAAAATTTTCAGTCGCTTTGGCTACTTTTCGCCCTTGATCGAAGAAAAATTGTAAAATATAGCGAATTTTCTCTTTGTGGTGTCCATCTTTGACGAGCTCGAAAACTCTCAAAGACAAACTTTACGCGAATAAACACGTTTTCAGCGCCGTAAGTATGACATGATGCGACACGCAACACTAATACTATGGACAATAACGCCATCTCTTAGATAAAACCGAACGAACTTTTTACTTTACCAATATTTAATAATTAGAAGTAGGAACTGTTGCCTCAATTATTTACAATCACAGTGAAATTAATTAGAGCTATTTGTAAATCGTCCTTGTGTTTTGTTGTATACGTTATAATTGATTTTATATAGAATGTATTACACTGTTTTGAGGATTATAAAAGAAATTGTTTTGGTCAATAAATAACATTTTTATTTATTTATCGATATTATTATACATGTTTAGCTTAAAATATAATAAATCTTAACAACTTTAAAAATTATATTATTAATTAATTTGTATATAATATATACAATATTAAACATAATTTTTTAGAGATTCTTATACATATATCCAAATTATTATAAATTAAATTTCTTAAAATTTTCTAAAAACTACTGTCAAAATTGCTATACCATTTTAATTCGATTATATTTGAAGAAAAAATGAAGTACTATTGCACTAAGTCTGAAATCTTTAGTTCGAAATAGAGACACAGCACAGACAAATACTGTCATGATAGCTGTGTACTGTCTCAACTGAAATTGCTTTAACATGGGAAGGAGCCATGTTTGAAAATGCCCAATCAATTTTGTGACCAGCACCATTATACACAAAGCAGGGAACTAAAGTTTTTTCCTTACAGCAGATTTCCTATTGTAGTCCCTGTGGCTATTAAACAAATGTTAAAATCACCAATAGTTAGCACAGTTTGATTGCAGTACTCAGAAGTAAGGACTTCCGGAAGTTCTACAATTAAATATCTGACAGAGAAAGCTGTCTAGAATTTCTGTATAGAACCAGAATATTAATATTGAAACATTTAAACAAATTCGTGCTTTGCATATATTATATTATTATGGCCAGTTTATTTCTGTTGCTTGTTTCCGTGCTATCTATCTTCAGCTCGTTAATTGGAGTAAATCCTGGTATATCAAAATTTTCGCAAGGATAACTCCCTAAATACAGGATCCGATTAAGAGAATTTGTTAGGAGGAATAAAATTTCCTGTGATGAATAGACCTTCGGCAGTAGTAGCTCGACTACTAGCGACATAAATTGAAGCTCTAGGCAATTCATAGGGCCAATTCAATTAAAGGGGGTAGTTTTATAAGTCTTCCAATTTTCAAAAAAGTCTAGACCGGTAGCTAAACATATTCGTTCTTTTTAACAATCGCATTTTTGCAAGTAGCACAAAAATTCTAATTGCCATCTACCGAAGGAAATTTTTGCATTAAAAAGACGTCTCTAATTTAAAATTTCATCTCTCATACCCCTCCCACCCCTCCTACTAAGCTGTTGATGTTGTGTTTCTCTACCACGCTCCTCTCTCCTTATTTCAGAATTTCTTCTTCCATGTTCTCTTTGCATTTGATCACGAATGCACTCTAAAATTCCTATACGCAGAATTTCTTGCGCGAAGTTCACTATAATCCCTAGTAATCCTACTTTGCTCATGATAACGTACCTCGGGATTTTCTCCGCCGATACCTGTGACATCGAGTATCTTTTATTGGCTTTTCAGAGCGAATTTGTGGATCATGCCGCCTTGTTCTATGTTGAATAGTATTATATTTACAACTTGCTCAAGAGTTCGAATCTCGGGGTCTTCGCGCCGAGATCTATGACCTCGAGTATTCCTTATTTGCTCTTAAGAGTGGATTTGTGAATCTATCTATCTATCTTTATGTTGAACAGTATTTACAACTAGTTCAACATATCGAACATATTGGGATTCTCCCGCCGAACATATGTCCTCAAGTTTTTCCGCTTTGCTCATCAGAGCTGATTTGTGGATTTTGACGTCATGAACAACAACGTTGAACAGTATTTAAATTTAGTTCAAAGGACCGTACCTCGAGATTTTCCCACCTGGTTCTATGTTGATTTGTATTGATAATTTTTTGGACAGACGTACATCGGAATCTAATCTACGATTAGCGTGACTCACAGTATCTTGTGACTGCTCACTATCTCTATATAAAGAGTTTCCACGAAGAACTCTCATACGTCTTCTATTCTGAAGACGACTTATACCTTCTACTTAATCTAGGCATAATTAATTAATAATAAAATACTTATATAATTCCGTCCGTCCGGGTGTAAAAAGTTGGATCCTAAGTGCGAACTAGTACACTGAAATTAGTTTGAAAGAAGCACTTTGCTGGTCAAGAAATCTAGTGTACCTGAAACTACAAACACAGTGTTTTGATATTTATTTTACTCTTGCAACATGTTGCTACAGAGTATAATAGTTTTGTTATGGTATATTTTTATACACATAGCTTACGTGCTTTTGTATACCTTTATATTACATAATAATACATAATATTTAGTTATATTTATATTCTAGAAATTAGTAGTTTATTTCATTGTATTGCTTTTGCCATCCGTAAATTGCTTTTGTCAAACGCTTTTTAAAACAGGGAGATCTATGGTACCTATTTTGAAAGCTCTGCTCATGAAGGCTAAATTAACAATAACTTACATATAATTAAGTATGGTATACACATATGTAGAGCAGGTATGTAGATTTTCTTCTTTCTGTCTTAATATCTAAACCTTTTATAAGCTGCCAACGGTGCTGCATAAATCCCAAAATGAACTTAAATGTAATTTTCTGAGTTTACAGTTCACCTCATGATCTTCATAATAGAATGTGTCGCAAGACTGAAATAATAGACAATAGCATTTAAACCGATAGGGTCGCAGCTAGGTTTATACGGTTTAAACAATGGTCTAGACCAATTTCATTCATATGCAGCGATAAACCACATAATTTTTAAGAAAAACTGTCCAATTAATTTCATTAAATTATCAAATTAACGAAAAATATTATGCCATAAGTAGTACATGTGAGCTTGGGAAATTCGGGGACCCACATTTTCGGCATTAAACTATCGTATATCTAATATCTTACATTTATATAAAGCCAAACGGAAGTTTGAACTTTTGACATATCGTTTGTTGAAACTTGGGTCAATATATTCCCAATAATGGGAACTAGGGCGGAACCGAGAATTTTATACCCTTGCAAATTTTAATAATCAAAGGTTAGGAAATTCCTTCAGTTGTGGCAAAACCTTATATTAAAACAAGTAAGGAAGGGCTAAGTTCGGATGTAACCGAACATTTTATACTCTCGCAAAGTCAAATGGTATACTCGTTTGAGATTTCTTTGTGGATTGACTGATATTTTCGGTAGAAGGTCAACTATAGGCACTGGGGTCCACATATTTAGTACTTAGGGGTTTGAACAGTTTTGGTTCGATTTAGACAATTTTTGGCCGCAAGGTGGCATACTTTAATTGCCTTATTCACGCAAAGTTTTACCCCGATATAATCATTGTTACCTGATTTGCATGGTGGAAAGTGAAAGAATCAGATGGAATTGAAAATGGTGTTACATGGGAAGTAAGCGTGGTTGTAGTCCGATTTCGCCCATTTTCGCACTATGACATAGAAACATGAAAAGAACGGTATGCACCGAATTTGGTTGAAATCGGTTGAGCAGATCTCAAGATATGGGTTTTCACCT